CATTAGTACCTCTAGTAATATATTTACTGAGAAAAATGGTGACGTGTTCAATACTTATTTTACCCGCTGTGTATCAAAATACATGTTAACCTCTGATTAGGCCAGTTCTGTTTCTTTCTTCAAGATGTTTTTTTCTGTTTTTGTGTTTTGGCACATGAGTGTCTTTTTAACTGAAAAACAGTTGATCTGAAATATTTGCATGTTAATGATGTCACTGCTCTGCTATTTGCTGACTGGTAGATCTAATATTGGTGTATGCATCTTTGTTTTCTGATAATTATATTTATCTGAAGCATGATTTTTTTTCTGTTAATGTTATTAGTGCATGTGTGCGAGTAATGACTAATAAGCTTTAAGGGAGCAGCTTTACAGACTGAACTCACTGTCACATTTACAAACAACAGGCTGGAGGTTCTTATTGTTGCCCACCACTGAGGACAAAGGTGCTGTAACTTAACAAACTTAACTTTTACAACCACCAGCTAACTGACATGAGGGAACATAAATGTATCTAAAACTCAGAGTTTTACAGAAACTGAGCAAAGATTTGGTCAAGGGCATAACTTTAGGTCTAATACATAGTAATGCTTTTGTTGTGATTTATTTCCTGTTGTCTTTGTATTTACTCTGCACCTTTTCTGTCCCCCCCCCCTCCAACACACACACACACACCTTTTTTTTTCCAGCAGTAACAAATATTTTACATTTTTAGGATGTATTACAGGCCCACAACATGCTTAAGTTTCTCAATTTTCCAAGAATTTGTCTTTACCTGGTGCACTATAATTTAGCWAGGAAAAATKATAYCATAATTCAACATWTCCAGCTGTAATGTGMGAAGAGCTGACCMAAGCTCAGCATGTCATTTTTARCTGTTATGATTAAACATATATGACATCATAAATGATGAAATCAGGTCAAAGGTACCTAAAGACAACAARAGGGTTGCAGYTKTGTGTTCATTATTGTGTTAGAGCAAATTATGTTATTTTATTGGGGTGGTTATATTGACTGGATCAAACACACAYACAAATTACGCCCATGGATTTGGTGTGGTGGTAGCTGATACATCCTCCAAGTGTTAAACATTGTTCAAAACTTTACCCTCCTTTGGTTTCTATAATAAAGGAGTTTAGCAAGGAGGAGAATGAAAAAGCTCAAAGTCCAAATCCTGCCAGAAAACAAATATATATATATTATTAGAACTTCTATAATTGTTTATTATTCGGTGTTCTAAAAACTAGTAAAGTTTGTCATTTAATCATGTTTTCATTAATAATATGTAAGCAAACCTTTATATAACCTTGTATAATCGTTCATATTCACAACTGTTTAAAATCAATGATAATTTATTCAGTCTCCTGTCACATTTAGAAGGTTTGCGTTCCATCAAGCTTCCAATCCCATCAAGTTGGACTTCTCTAAAAGTCATTTTGGTGACAGTGAAACAGTATGAGGTGTCACCTAACAAAAGGATGACTTGTCATCACTTAAATGTCACCAGTGCAGACACGGGAACATCATCACTTATGAAAACGATGTTCTCACAGAAGAGTTGTTAAAATATACAGAAGTCTCTGATCTGATCAGATTGAGTCATGATCACTTTCCTGTTTTATTAAGACTTGCTTTTTGAGGGTAAAATCTGACTTCACCTTGTTGTGTGGCTCTTTTAATTATTCCCTTGTGTCAGCGGACAGTGCTGAACACCACGAAGGAGTCAGGAGGACACGGGAAAGAAAAGAAAAGAGTTTGCAGTGACCTGAGAATCCTCACAGACAGGATTGCATTAAAAGGGTGTAGATCAAGGAAAACTTTGATCTGTTACCCCCCAAAACACTGACTTGCTGGCTTTTTACTCATTAGTATTCAAAGTAGCAACAATGCAGTCACTGCAGTTTGCAAATTGTTTATGTCAACAACTTCCTGGCATGACCGCCGCAGACCGGGGGGCTGGAGAACATTTGGCTGCTCCCTTCCTAAAAGAAAGAAACTACAGCTGGTGGGTCTTTGCTGTAAGACACAGCTGAGGAAATAATATAAAAAATATGGACTAACTGATATTAACACAACAAAAAGTATGTGTGTTTCTAATTAATATTCAACCAATTCAAAGTGACAAAGTTAAAACCTGTGAGAGGATTGTGCACCATGTGTTAGCCTGGATGTTAAACATGTCCTGGATGTCCGTTTTTTATGGATTCTTAAATGTATGCCATCCACGGTGTGACTGGCATGTTGCCCAGATGTCTGCTCAGTTTACTTTGCCCCGTCATTCTATGAATATGATGCTATAAAAAAAMCACGTCTGGTCCACATGTGAAAACATGGCTTCGGTGTGAAGGTTAAACACCTCCATGTCCTTCATTTAGGAGGAGGAGACATTCGGTGCACAGAACTGCTGGCATCATTCAAACAGAAATAAATGGTGACAATAAGTCACCCAGAGCAGTAACTGTCAACCTGTGCAGTTCATTGTACATATACGCTGTAGATAGATAAATAAGGAGTTACGTAAATGACTGTTATATGCTGCCAATACCTTCTCTCTATTTATGAATATATGTTTAAATTATATATGTATACATGTATATATGAACTCCAAACATGAAGTCAATGGTGATGAGCTGAACTGTCCCTATAGAGGTTTGTGTTTAAGAAAAATTGCTGTTTCGGTTCTGCTAACAGGTAAATTGACCAGTAGGTGTTTCATCACTGTTGCAGTACAAAATGTTTTGGCCTCACTGCATCTGAGTCTTAAAGCTGCTCTGAAAAATGCCTTGTGTTTTTTTTTCTGTGAAACTCAATTTAAAACAGTCGGTTAAGGAAAAAAAATGGAACTCACTTCATCTGCGTTCCTCTCTGTGCCTGCACTTGTATTTATTTGGCCCCATATGTGCAGTGTTCGGAACCTTCACCTCTCCCGGGAGCGACTCAAACATCTCTCTCTCTTTCTCTCTCTCTCTCTCTCTCTCTCTCTCTCAGACGGGTGCCCTCTGCACCTGTCCTCACCTGTCCTCAGCAGACGCAGAGCTTTTCCTGCCGTGTTTGCCTTTGCCTGGAACCTCACGCAGTGCTCCAGAGGTCTTTCTGATTAAGACTTAATTAATAAACTTCTGTGTGTCTTTGTGAACTCGCTCAAACTTTTTCTTCAGACTGACTCGTGGGAAGCAGCACAAAGTAGGAACTGAACACAGAGCTTGTACAGACAAGTGTTTTAGACAATTAGTTGTGTGATGATAAGTGATGTTAAGTGGAAAATTAAAGCCAATTTGTTTGAGTTTTTTAAATATTAGACACCTCTACTGTCACTTTATGATCATGTACAATGCAAGTCTTCATCTAGTTAGTAAGAGTTGTCAGTAGTGAGTAACTCACCTGCAACAGATCTATCTTTGCTTGAAGAATCAGACATGTATTTTGTCTGCAGCATATTCCAGAGCAGATGTCAGCAATGTAAATGACTTAAACCTCAAATGTTTCAACTTTTCCACCACATGACTTTGGTTTGATTGAAATGTGATCTATTGCACCAAATAGTGGGCGTACTCTGTCCACATCTGTAGCTGAGAGGCTAAATTGATGTAAGATCTGTGCCATAACWGCAACAGCTTGAATGCTTTTGCTTAATATGATTTATCTTATTAATTGTCTATTAACAGTTACTCTGTTTGCACATTTCCKTGGCACAGTGAAGCCATCCTTTTATTTTCTGATTGGTGAGGCTGAGTTCCAAACGTGTAAGTTTCCTCATCCTTACTTTCTTCATGCAGCTGGAGTTTGCCTGCAGCAGCAGCATATGTTGTTTTGTTTTGGGCAAGGCTGTATTCATCCTGGAGGAAGAGGTTGGAACGATTAAAAATATAGAGCAGAGTGTGTGCATAATTAATTTTATTCCCACTGAAGTGTTTCTGCGTCACAGGAGGAGGCAGCACTTTCAGAGCTTGAGCAGCAGAGGTGATATACGAGTGAGCTGGTGGAATATTGTGCACGAAAGTGCAAAGATTCAAACACGGTGGAGCTCGGTACAGTCAGGTTTTGAGAAACTGWCATTTCATTTATCCTCCATGAAATATATTGTCACCCACAGCTGAAGGCTGAAGTGAAGCAATATTTTTCGTTTGTCTGTGCTGTTAGCAAAATGTCTCAYGAACCACTAAATGCATTTTGATGAGRCGCTCAGAAAATAATCATTTGGTTGATGTCAGCTTACTTAATTTTTGGAGTATCTCTATTCAAGTTGGCTGCCAGAGAAAACGATTGTAAGCACAAAAATGATGTTCATTTTACAGACACAGATCTAAGGTTATGTTAGTTGAGACTGACTCCCAACTTATAATCTGAGCACCAGATCAGTATTTCAAATGTTGATGTTTACTCTGGGAAACAGCTGTTAGCAAAATATCTCATGAACTGTGGAAAAAGGTTTTATACAAGAGTAAAAAGCTAATCAATAAATAATCTACAAATCAATCAGTTAACCAGGCATTAAGTCAACATTTTATGTGGTAGCACCTGGGAGTCATTGTCAACACATGCTTCAAACTTAAGATCCATATTATTTTTAAGGTTTAGTCAAAACTACACCAGTAATTTCTCACCATAGAATGACTTTTTTATATAACAGTTTATAAAAAGAGGTGCCCCATGCCTTTAATTGTGGAAGACTTACTGTATGTATTTATTGTTGAAAGTCCAAAATAATTTATTTTACAATGTAACACATGTTGTGTTTCAGCTTCACTTTTATACTAAAACCAGCTGCWTTCTGCCCGGAGAATTTTGTTTGTAGGGAAAATAAAAGAGGTAGATAAAGTAGGAAAGAAACAAAAAAGGATGGAGGAAGCGAGGGAGCTGCAGCTTTATATTGGCCRTTTGAACGAGAGGGGCAGGTCTCTCTTCAGCTTTCTCTCCTCCTCCTCTGAGAAGCAGTGTGAGCAGCATCGGCACACACGGGCTGGAAGAACTAAGGACCCTGAGCTGAGCGACGAACAAACAAAAAATAAAAAATAAAACGTCCAAGAAACTGTGAAGAGTGAAGACCTGAACAGGCTGAGGAGCTGAGGAGGGCAGACCTGTGTGACTGAGCAGCTGTTTCACATCTGTCACAGAAGTTTGAAGAAGCGTTGTTCTCATGGCAGGACCGACCGTGCAGGAGCCCCTAAAGGTGATGTTTAAACCCAATTTTAGTTTTTTTCTGTTTTATAAACTATTAARACAGTTCAATCCTTTTTAAATTTGCTGCAAGTTAACTTTGATTTAGTTTAAAGTCATTTGTTTGGAAATTACTGTTTGAATCTCTGAACTCTGGTGTAAAGAAAAGACAAATGCAATTATAACTGTTGTGGTTAAACAATAAAAATAACATGTTGAATTACAAGCAACGTTGCAATATCTCACGTCATCTCTAAGTGCTTGGAGTTTACGTTGTAAACAACTCTCAGCTACTACCACACCACATTCTAGCTCAGTGCCTGTACATTTCTCTGAGCTATAGCCATTGGTTRACTCCAAAAAACTCCAAATTTCTGAGGAGTTGTGGTGAAATCTGCTCATGAGAATCTCTGAAACACAGAACCTGGGTTCAGTCCCTGTTAATGCAAAATGTGTTTAAGTTAAAATATGTTTTAGAGCCCATGCAAAACTACTACCACTTCAAGTTTTAGCTTAATAACTTCAACATTGGCTGAGTTTTAGCCATATGTGTTGGCAGCTTTATTGAAATGAGTCATTTTCTAAAGTTATTCAGTTGTAACTTATTTTCTGAACATATTAACAAATGTTTTGCTAAGAGACATAATTGATGCTAATAGCAAAGTTTTAAACACAGATTTCAAATGATAGTTAGAGCTCAGACCATAATTAAACTAAATATCTGTAAAATTGACAGTTTATTTATTTTTTATGAGGTTCCTTTGCTGTGGTGGCCATCTTGAATCAAAAAGACTTTAAAAATAGCAAAAATGTGCAGCCATTGATTGCTTTCTGAGATTTTTTTTTAAACCAGTCCTCTGGTTGATGAAAGATAAATGCGTCTTGCCTCACCCTGTCAGTCTTGTTACGTGTCATAAAGTTTTATTTTCTTTCAGCCATGTGCACATCCACACGTCAAACACGGTCCTTAACTCTGCTAAGTGTAATAAAGAGCTCAGCCGTCTCAGTGCAGGGCAGACACATGAGGCCTGAGACAAATCCTGTAGAAATGAGTGAGAGACAAGGTTGGAAAACATCCTCCGGTTTACATCACCACGACCCTCTGCTGAGCACARCTTATTATTTTATCTTGACGGAAGTCATAGCTGGAAGTCTTTTATTTTTCTTTTCTTTATCAAAGGAAATCTATTGCTCATGCAACCAAACACATCAGCGGGATGGAACTGACTGGACCGAACAAACTCTCAAAAGAGAATATGTAATGTGATGTTGACGGCTCACAAACCCACAAAGCCAAACGGGGAATGAAGATGATGAAAATCTGCGGGTGTAAGCAAAAACAGAGAGCGGCCCCGCTGCACTTGGRAAAAGTGAAAATCAAGCCTCCTTTGGCTCAGTCGGGATGTGGAGTTATCACCTCCGGCAACCCAGACTGTCACTCCATACTTATTGCAGCCTCGCTTGTTTCTGTGCTGCACACGTATATGTGAGCACACAAATGGAAGCTTTTATATTACTTAATTTAAAAGCAACATAAGCTCAGGCCTTGCCCAGGACAGAGCTCATAAGTTTCATGTCAGCTGGGGAAGGTTCAGACAACACTGAACTCTGCCACAGGCTGCATTGTGCTCATATTGATCATGATTCCTAACCTCTAGTCAATGTTATTGACTGGTGACATCAGCGTTTAAAGGCTGATCCTTTTTCTTCTGCTGCAGCGGTGTGGTGGGACTCCTGTTGATGTTCTTGTTTCTGTCTCGTCCTCCAGGTGCAGCAGAAGTGCGTCGCCGCTCTCGCCCTTCTTTGCTGCTTTGCCGTGCTGATGGTGCTCATCTTCTCCTCCGTGGACATTTGGGGAGACGACGAGGACGGAATCACAGAGGACAACTGCAGCAGGGACTGCAGGTGAGGTGTTCTGTAGAAGCCAAACTTTGTTGTCTTTTTTTAAATCATTCAGACAAAAAGCCTTGTTTTTATAAATGAAACACAAAGTGCTTTGCATCAGATTAAAACAAAACAAAACAAAGAATAAAAGAGAAGAAAAAAGAAGCAACAATTTGTCATTGCACCRTTTCAGCTCTGATCARTTTAGCTTGAATTTTAAAGTTTAGTTTAAAACAAAGGCAAAGTGGAAAACACGTAAATAGTTTTAAACTAAACTTTGAGCTAAAAGCATGAACAGTAAATCTGCACATGAATCCTGCCCCTTATTGTCAGTTGACCAATAGTAGAAGAGCTGACCCAAGAAGGACCGCCCACCTTATTTACATAATGAGGCAGAAATGCATGATGAAATGTAAATACAGGAGACAGTGAAATGTAAATACAGGAGACAGTGAAATGTAAATACAGGAGACAGTGAAATGTAAATACAGGAGACAGTGAAATGTGAAATTAACACATGGAAAGAAAAAGACTTGTGGGGGAAAAATGTAAAAAATAATTCAATATAATCGTTTAAGAGACACAAATGCATCTACAAGTAAAAGGAAGAACAAAAATGTTAAAAACAGCAAAATGTAAACTATGTGCTAAAATATATAACTTACTGGAACTAAGCTGGAAATTAAAAACGAAAGTCAGTTTAATTATAAAACATGAGGTAGTTATTCTTTTTTAATGTAATTACTGCATTTTAAGTGTATTTATTCATTTTGTGGTCCTTTTTTTTTTTTACATTTCTGCTTTTATTTCTAATTATGCCAGWTTCGGTGAAAATCCAATTTCATTTGCACACAAGAAAAATATTAGTTTTTATCTTTTGAGCACAAGACATAAATACAACCAATTATTCAGTGTTTCAGTGTTTTTATTTTAAATAAAGTAATTATTATAATTATTGCTCCACTGGGGCTGAAGGTAGTCTGTTCTCTGGTTTCTGTGTGTTTAGTCCGGTGTCTGTCTATCACAGGTGGTCTTGTGTGTACGATATCCCCTGAATGAAATTATATATTCACTTATAAATAGGAATATACAGTATAACTCCATTAGGGCAGTACTCAGTTTGATTAGATTTTATCAAGAAAGGGTCAAAAGTCAAGGCCATTTATGATGATTGGTAAAAAAAAAAACTGCATTTTTTTCTAATTCCAAAATACCTGGTTAAAAAAGGAAACAAATTATTATTTTGTATGATACAACCCAAGATTGAATTTCATTAACTTGTTAAATTATATTAATTGTCCACTCTTGATGCATGTTGCAGATTTGAATATACCTTAAAAAAACATAGGTTTGTGGTGCGGTAAATTTGATAACTTGGGTTCGTGTAGTTTTAATGTGTACTGTAACAGCAGCCTTAAACTGTTCAAGAAAAGCAAATGAAGCTGGTAAATCTGGTCATTTGTCCCATTCAGTGTGACACATAACATCGTTTTGCTTCGTGTGTAAATTGATTAATCAATCCCTATAATTATTGGGTTTTTTTTTTTTTGTTTGTTTATACAGTGATCTAAGCAACATATCTAGAGTCTTTTGGTTCCTAACAATCAGTCAAAATGTTGTGTTAACTTTTAAATTACTGTGCATTTATTTATTTTAWTTTTTCACAATCAGTATTTGGTTCTATTRATGCCTTGGTGYTAATAATTCAGAACACTGTAAGTGATTTTGATAAAATATGTTTCTTATTATGAGCCTTTCAATCAGTCCTGTATTATATTAAGCTGTGTCTTACTAAACAAAACATTCCTAGGTCACAAACAAATCTRCTGTGTTTCCATTGACAAAATCTCCAGTATAATGGTTTGTATATATTTTTCAAAAGGTTTATTGGAATCAAACTCAAGGTTCTATAAATTAATAACAAATGTTTTGATTTCAGCATCGTTCTTGTGGAGAATATTCCAGACGACCTCTCCCTGCCCGTGGATGGCAGTCGTCACCTTCCTCTCTCTGTGGGTTTTCACTCCCTGCTGGACCGAGCCAAGCACTCCGTTGAGATTGTGTCATCGGTCTGGAACTTAAACTCTTGGGATGTGGAGCCAAAAGCAAGAACATCTAAACAGGTACAAGTTGTCCTAGGTGGTTCTGCAGAACATGAAGCAGCTGAATGCTCTGTCATTATAAAAGCTAATATTTTTTTAATGTCGTCAGTTAATGAAGTTGGTCCTGATGTAGTAAAGAAGTTGCCCTCAGCTCTAATACTCAGCTGCAGTAATACAGAATATTTTTCCTCTCTCTCTCTCTCTCTGCAGGGTCAACTTCTGTTCCAGAAACTGCTCAGCCTGAAATCTCGTGGGGTTAAACTGAAGATTGTCAGCAGCCGAACAAATGTTGCCGAGCTGAAAGCCCTGGAAGCACGCGGTGAGTTCCTGCCACGCTTTAACATTTATAAAGCAACTAACAGGAGAAAGGATCTCTATTTCTTCACACTAACATGATGTCATTTCTTACGTTTCAAAGAAATGTTGCTGTTTTCTATGTTGAGTTTGGTGAAGTTATTTGCAGYGTTATTGTTCATACATGCAGCATCCTTGATTCATCTCAAAGGAAACTGAAGTTACAGCAGCTCCTCGCCGTGACTCAGCTCTCAGTCTGAACTTAAGGTCAAACACACTGAAAGTTCAAATCTATTGGACAAGTTTCCTGTCAAAGACTTCATGTCATGAAGGCTGCCTGCCTTTATATCCTCCAGCTGACAACACAAGGCCAAACGGAGGATTTGCACTCTTCTTTCCGTCCCTCCATTCTTTCCCATCTTTCCCCTCATCCCACCACTCTGTCTCTCACACTGCTCAGACGCAGAGGTCCACTCTGTTAATATGACGGCTCTCACTAAAGGACGACTGCACTCCTCGTTCTGGATCGTGGATCGGAAGCACGTTTACATCGGAAGCGCCGACATGGACTGGAGGTCGCTCTCCGAGGTAACAACATGTGATCTGTAAGATAAAAAAGGTACAAATAAAACCAGACAAAAAGAGAGGCAGGCAGAGATTTACCTTCCACTGTAACGTGACAGACTGAAACCTCTGTTTCCTTCTGGGGAAACACTAAAATAGAACAAACACACAGCAGAGATGTGCTGTGGAGTTAATGACCGCGCTAAGAAATCTTTAGAACTGTTTTTTTTTCTGTCGACTTTGCTGTTTTTAGTTTTTTTTTTTCTGTTTATTTGGATAACAAGCTGCAGAGCATTTGATCCTTTTATTTTTGTCCAGACTGAATAACAACCAGTGTTATCACTCCATAAGGGATTTTATAACAATGCTTTATTTATTCAAATTCTACAGTCCTTTCAAATTAAAGTTTGAATTACTCACATGATATAATTCATCTTATAAAATCACCCCCCACCCCTTCTTTTTTTCTCATCTCTAAGCTGCAAAACTGTGCATGAGAACACTTTAAGGTTCCAATTTTCTGCTGCATCATGCCTTCTTGTGTGCTTCTGTCTCACCCCCCCCACAGAGGAAAGAACTGGGGGTGGTGCTGTACAACTGCAGCTGTCTGGCCCTGGACTTCCACCGAGTTTTTTCATTTTACTGGCAGCTCCATGACAGGGATTTTATCCCCTCCATCTGGTCCAGGAGAGTTACAGCCCTCTACGGGAAGCACGAGGCCCTGGAGCTGCAGCTCAACGACACGCCCGCCACTGCCTATGTTTCTGTGAGGAACAGGACTTTTAGCATTATAAGAGTTATAGTATTACATAAAACCATATTTGGTATTTTTATTGGACATACAGTAAAGCAAATGATTTGTGATTCAACTTGGCATTTTTTAAGAAATATACAGCAGGTAAAATAAGTCTTGAACACGTCACCATTTTTCTCAGTAAATATATTACTAGAGGTGCTAATGACATGAAATTTTCACCAGATGTTGGTAACAACCAAAGTGATCCATACATACAAAGAAATCAAACCATAAATGTCCAGAAATGAAGTTATTTGTAATAATGTGGTATTGAAAAAGTATTGAACACATGAAGAAAGGGAGGTGTAAAAA